TTTTATTTTGATAATGATATTTGTGGACTAGTTTATTTTGTGCGTTGGCTCGTTATGTTAAAAATAAAATACCCCCGCCGCAGCAAACCTGCCGACTAAGCGAATTTCCATTTGTCTGAATTGATTTTCAGTTAAATATATTTTAATAACATTAGGTTTAACGAGTACCTAGGTTTGCTGCTACAAGGAAACTAATAAAGCGTGTTTTTGAGTAAAATATTGATAGCTTAGTACAAAATAAATAAATTTGCCAAGTTTGATCAAAATATATCCATAAACAAGCAAACTACAACATTTGACAATATTCTCCATAAGAATAACATGGGAATTTTAAATTTACAATTTTTTTTTATTTTCTCCGTTACTAATAATTGAACAAAAATACTTTTATATACTAAATTATTTGTTTTTTAAGCTCTTTAAAAAGGTCTAAAGAGAAATCGGGAAATTTTGTGTTTTGAGGGTCAAAAGTGAGAAAAACCAATTTTTACCCCATAAAACCCCCCGTAAAGCCCCGTTCCCATGGTCCGATCGTGCTGGTTCGCGAACTCATTCAAGTTTATCCCGCTTTACACCTTTAAACCAAATTTCATCAAAATCGGACAAAAATTACTCAAGTTATCGCGTTCACGGACGTATATATATATATATATAAGTCTATATATATATACATATATAAAAATTTGAACGAATGGTGTTTTTGGCCTCTGGGGACATCAAAATGAAAAAGTAAATCGGTCCCGGGTCTAGGTATTACCGTGCCACCTACGGTAATAGCTACTTCCCTATAGGGAAATTCGCTAATAAAATAATAATGTTAAAATAAATTTATAATAAATATGTTGAAGGTCTCAAACAGCTTTAGAATTAGTTGTTGTTCTTATAATTAATTTTAGACAAACTTTTCAGTAATATTATCCGTACTAATATCAGTCCAATTGAATTTATATATGTACAATTGAATAGAAATATGTATTAATGCATCTACAATTTATTTCATATATGGAAAATTCACATAAGCCAGTAATAACTTTTATAACAGTAATAGGGTGTACATTGATATATTGTCTAACATTTGGTGGCTAGTCTACTGTATCTATATACATCGATGGAAATATGTATGCTAAAAATACTGTAGTGACAGAATGTTATTATTTTCATTGTATTTCACCTTATAGGAATTTAAATAAAATTACAAAAAAATTTTACTTCCATAATGGTATGACTTATTACATTTCATAAATTTTATGGTTTTTTTTACTTTTTCAAAATATTTTTTTTTTCTTTTTCAATGCGTACATAACAAACACTAGACCACAAGGCTAAAACAGGCAGGCTAAGATCCATAAAAAGCAAAGAAGTGATATATTGCACTTTACCCACTTATTCGGGGCAGAATAAATGCTTCATTAGATTCATTAAGCTCTTGCATGTTTTCTTATCAGGTGGTCATAAAGGAAGTGGAACAGAACGAACACAAGATCAGATGTTTATGAACAAACTTCTTGCGAGGCGACTTTTCTTATTTACCCTGTTGAAAAGTGGGTCGCATAAATTAAAAGTTTAAATGTTATTTGTCAAGGTTCAACTTGGCATTTTCCTATTCCATTGGTTTAGTTTGTGATAGGGGTTAAAGTATATGTTGAAATGATCAAACTACATATTTAAATGAAAAAAAAAAATCTGTACTGTATGCGAAAGTTTATTATTTTTGTAGAAGGGAGTGCCCGTTCTGTAAAACCTTTTAACTGAATAGTGCAAATGACGTTTTATCAACATAGCTGTAGATTTATTATGGAACTTTAAAAATCGACGGCTCCGGACCAATAAGAAATTGTAGTAGCCTAGATACGCGTTAACCTTTTTTATTTAAGATTCAGCTGTTTATGAATAGAAAATTTAAAAATTTATCATGTACCTCAAGCTTAAAAAGCTTAATTAATTTTCAATTTTTTAAATTTGTATTCAAGAGATTACTGTATTTTAGTTTATACATAGTAGATTCTAGTAGCCTACTGTAGACAGAAGAGGTTTTTATATATCATAAAATACTGGTAGTGACGATACAAATAAACCAACAAACTAAGAGAGTAAGTACCTTTATTTATTTGTAAACAATATGCTGCTAAAAATTCAAAATGTACTTAAACAATTAATTACAGAAAGTGAAACATTTGAATAAATTGGTGTTTAATAATGATGATAAAGTGAATATATGATAAAATGCTGAAATAGGCCCTAGATATAACCATGAATATTTGGCTTTGAATAAATGATCCTGACTAATGAAACAGCTGATTTTAGTCAGTCACAAAGCGACACAGATCATCTCACATTCCATACTCATCCTTCACTCACATTTTGGGCCACAACAGCGCCTAGGTGGCTTCTAAATTTCATAATGACAATTTTAATGATAATTTATATTATGAATAATGTTGCTGTGAATAAGTTAATTTATAAAAAAACCTTCATACTGTTTGTTCATTTAGGATGGTTGATAAACACTTTTTGCTGTTCGTTCAAAATTCCTTACCTTCCATTGCAAATATTACGTTTTCAAAAATGTACCGCTACATTTCAAAGAATTATACAATGACCGAATCTTTGGTGAAAGATTTAGTAAACTACAACTTTATAACAATAGTATTATATCGATATAACAATTAGTAGGCCTATGTTTGTCACTCGAAATCGAGCAAAATTTAGTTTAGTTAATCGACCGCCCAATTTTTGGATTATTTTAGATGATTATTTTTGACATTTCCAAGTTTCACTTAGTTCAACAAACATATTTTGTTTGTGCAGGTTCTGTGATCTGTGGTAGAGCCGGACTTCTGACAACAAACATCGTAGTTCCGCTCGCCGCCGCAGCTACCGCGAGCGCAGCACTGTACGCGTGTGGCAACTCTGCTGAACTACTTGTCTGGTTTTAAAATTTCTGATTTTTTTTAAATATAGGTACATGTGGAAATTTGTGAATTTTAGTACTTCATTATTTGAATTTACATATTTTTTTCGGAATTTCCTTGACAAATTAAAAGGCTATATTTTGTGGCAACGAGAGCAATTTATCATTTGATTGTAAACTAAAATTTTGGACCACAACGTGCAATACACTATAGAGCAATTAGACTATTCTGGTAATGGTAATGATTGTTAAGGTTATATTGTGATCTTATTTAGTTTTATGCCAGGATCGATGTATTTTAAATAAATATTCATTTTATTATTGTTGGGATATTGTGTACATGTATTTTTATTAAACATATAGTGTAAAGGCCGCAAGTGAGTTACATGTATACAATTTGTACAGGGATAAATGTATCCTCGTAGACCTATAGGTATTAAATTCTGATTAATTGTCTTAATCACAATTATCATATTAGATGTTTATGGCATAATTCTATAAACTCAAATATAAAAATAATATTCAATCGTGTAAATTGAGATTATTGATTGATCTTTAGATTAAAATTTGAGTTAAAATTCAAACTACTTGCAAGCAATACAATTAGTGAATAGATTTAAATTCATTTGTCTATTTAAAGTATCGTCGTTATACTTTTATACAATATGCAATTTAAAAAGTGCGGAACTCTTTGAAAGTAAAAATATTGCTGTATTATCTTTATTTTTTTACTATAATGGATATGTAGCACTTTTTAAATGAACATTATGGCTATGTCCCGTATTATTTGAAACAGGAAAAAGAAGAAGAAGAACTCTAAGATAGACCAACTGTGATACAGTTAATACGAATAATTTATGATCATGCTTTCTAAAGTTAAGTTGTCAACATTTTAAGGTTTGTGCTTTTATGACTTCCCAGCAGGCTTTACCTGGTATGTTGACATTAACAGTGTAGGTACCATGACACTAATTGAATGTTTTTGCTTTAATAGTTTATCATAGACGTTCATGTGTATTTTCAAATGTGTGAAATGTTTTGTACAAGTTAATGAGGAGGTAAAATAAACATCAATGACAATAACTTCTCATCATGACAGTATTATTTACTTAGTCATACGTATTTAGAATTAGTTCTCCAGTGAGTATGAGATCCACTGACAATACTGTTATGAATGCAATAACATGAAGCCTATCATATAAATACATTATATAACATATAACATGCTAGCTACACGTGGTCTATTTGCTATGACATCTTAAGTAAACAAAGTTAGTCACTTTCATTGTTTTGCAATGGATATTCAAGAAGTTCTTCCTAGTTTAATATAGGCTAATTTAAGAAGTCTTTATCCTTCCTCACTTCTTATCAATTACAATTTACTTAACATGTTGATCGTATCACTCCTATGGTTAACACTAGTATAATTTAGTTTAAGAAGTCTTTAAGAATATCCCTTCTCACTTTGATTGATGTACAATATTCAAGAAGTTCTTACTAAATTAATTTAATTCAAGAAGTCTTCATCCTTCCTCACTTCTTATCAATTACACTTGACTTAACATGTTTATCTTATCACTTCTGTGGTTAACACTAGTATAATTTAGTTTAAGAAGTCTTTAAGAATATCCCTTCTCACTTTGATTGATGTACAATATTCAAGAAGTTCTTACTAGGTTAATTTAATTCAAGAAGTCATTAAGAATAAGCTTCCTCACTTTGATTGCTGTACAGTATTTAAGAAGTTCTTACTAGTTTAGTTTAATTTAAGAAGTCTTTAAGAATAAGCTTCCTCACTTTGATTGTTGTACAATATTCAAGAAGGCCTTACTAGTTAAATTTCTTTATCCTTCCTCACTTTTTATCAATTCCACTTGACTTAACATGATCTTTTCACTTCTATGGTTAATATTAGTTTAATTTAATTTAAGAAGTCTTTAAGAATATCCTTCCTCACTTCCTAACTACACTTTACTTAACATGTTTATCTTATCACCATGGTATTATGATTGTCATTCCTTTTAGAATACTTATCTCATTTCTAAAGCATCTTCCCGATGATTTTCCAGGTAACTTATTCCTAGTTTACCTGGAGACGAGTCCTCCTTCCTGGAACTCCTCTTGGTCCTCGGTCTGTCCTGTCGTGCCATGATCGCGGCGATGGAGAAGTCTGTGGCTCCTGGCCTCAGAGAACACTCGTCCATCATCCTTCCATGTCTCCACACGCCACTCACACACGCGGCCACGCTCGGCGGCAAACTGCTGCCATTTTTCCACACTCCGCTCGGATTAGAAAAGTTACGGGATCGCGAGGGGGGATCAATCCGATGACAGGGGGGGAGGTAGGGAGGAGCTTCGCGATCAAATCCTTCCGCCACACTCACCGAAGACTTTATGACAACGCTATTGTTAATTTCCTCCTTGATTTCGGCTTGACCGCCGCGGCCGGCTATTGGAAAGCGCGCCTCGTATTGGTGGTTGATGAGGGGTTTTTTATTGGCGGGCGGGCCGGCCCCTCCCCCTTGGTGGGGGGGAGCGTGCTGCACCGCTCCTTGGAGCTCTACCTTGTGTACCGTCTTGTTCCTCGAGATGTATAAACACTTGGTGATTAACAGATAAAATTCACGAGTAAACAATTGAGTAGAATGTCGTTTGCGTAGAAAAAGTGTGTGAAAAAAGTTAATTTATGGCTATGAATGTTATAAATAATTTATTCTGTTGGATTTTATTTAAAAAACAAAAATACTGTAACTTAAAGCTACAGTAAAAAATACAAAAAATACAAATCAGTGTAAAAATACTGTTGTGTACTTGAAAGAGGGAAAACCTTTAATTATACCGATATTCTTTTAATTGTACAAAATTAAAGTTTGGAAAGGTAAAGGAAAAATGTAACATAAATTAATTGGTTTGTCCAAATCCTTATAGAAAATTGTTTTTTTCACACAATTCTAACGTTATATTTTACGTTCTATAATATTTGTTGCACTTTGAACTAACTAAAGATCCGAAAACGGCTTGATTAGTAGAACAAAATTATACAAAATGTAACATAATTGATATGGTTTATCAACAACTTTATGCCCTAACCCAAAATCGAAGATACTTATACTCTATTTTTGTTGAATAGAATGCTCAACAAAAATAGAGTTAAATACTATTAGGCCTATGGTAAGAATATAATGATCAGAGTTTCATATTTCAACTAATAATAAACCCATATGGTTCCTAAGATATAATTAGACAGAAAATGAATGGCGATTAATGAATGGTGTAATATAAAATTAATAACCATACAATATTAAAATGATCGATATTATAAAATAACGTGTTTGGTAAACACAAGCAAAATAAAAATATTTGAAATATCTGTTAAATAAAATGTTTTTTTCTCAGATCTACGTGGCGGTGTTTGCTCTTTAACTCGTAAGAATTTCATTCCATTTTTTAACACTTTACCAAAACTGTTTTTATCATTTAAATGATGACGATAGTAGTTGAAATATACCTAGTATACCTAATTACTCGTACGTTATTTATTTTACCTATTAGCTCGCCATCAATTACAATGTTCTGTTATTATGTTTCATGTGTGTTTATTTCATATTATTTTTACCCTACAGCCTCAACATTTTACTTTATACTTTGACTTTATTTATTTATTTCTGTTGGAAAATATGTTTTGTAAATATTGTATTCTTCATGTCTATTATATTATTCAATAATCTTACTAATATTATAATTGTGAAAGTTTGTGTGTTTGTTTGTTTGTTTGAAGTTCAATCACGCATTAACTACTGGACGGATTGTGCTGCAATTTGGCATGATGATAGCTCACATTCCCGATTAACGTATAGGCATATTCTTATGTCAAAAATCCTTTCGGGCTGCGTCCCAGAGGCTCTGTAGTTCCCCATGTTATCCTTATGAGTATTCATATTTAATGGGAAGTACAGAATTTAGTTGGCTATTTCAACAAAAAAGATTGTTTCTACGATATGCAAAAGCATTAAAAAGTTATAAGATTTACCAACAGGGTGCAGCACTATTATTTTTTTGGATTTGTGAAAACAGTTAATTTGAACTAGAAATGAGAACTGTCAAAGTAGGATTGTTTTACAGTTATGTTTAAGTTTTTAATTTTATGAATAATTTCTGATACTTTGCGAATTTTTAATAATTCATTTTCTCTATTGAAGGTTAAGTGGTAGAAAATTATGGCTATGGTAGATGTGTAATACTTTAGTATACCATAAATTTAAAGAAGCAAATTTTATCAGACTGTGTCCTCCCGTATTGAAAACGCAAAGCTTGAGTAAAACTGCAATAAACATTTTATACTAATATGCCAACCCCGTACGAAGGACGGGTGCTCTGCTAGTTTATTGATTTTTCATAATTTTAATGTATCCTTTGCATTCAAACTATTGTTTTTCCTTCTTGAATCCAATCTGTAATATCTACTATTTACTGTAATTAAAGGATAAAAGTGCAAATACGTTGTTCCTGAAAAAAGTAACTGATTTTCTCAGTCACATAATCCAAGTAATTTTAATAATTCTTATCCAATAACTACAATAGAACTCCCTACGTTATCACATTGCTATGCCTTGGATACAGTACGTACTGATTTCTATATTAAAAGCTTGAATAGTTTTTAAAAGGACGTAACGAATAAAATCAACAAAATATTTAATTATTTCGCAACCATTATCTCTCATAGGATTCTTATGTTACACTAACACTTGAACCTTTGACAATTTGAAGACGTTCTTTTCTTACCACTGTTTGTTTAATCAATATACTGGATGTCCCAAAAAGAATGGATCAAAAGTAAACTTGCATAAATACTTTATTATTAAAGATAAAAAGATAGCTTTATATACACTTTTTTCCTTAACTTCATTAGTTTTTCCTACCATCGTTTCATCGCCTAATATCTACATGTTCTCCGCTATTTAGTCAAAGAAAGTCAAGTCAATGTTCAAGCTCTGACTGCACATTGTGGTGTCATTTTTCCAAAGGCTTCCCTTATCTTTGCTTTAAATTGATCTACTAATGAGATGGATTAGCGAAAGACAAATTGGATTTTATCTTTAAACCATCCAACACACGGTGCTTTCAACTGCAACTCTATTTATTATATAAATAATTGAAACAGGCTACAACAATGGAACAGCTGATTTATGTTGAAGGGAACCGAAAGAAACTCTAAGATATCAGCTTTAAAATTAGCCATAGTTAACTTTTCTATGGTAACACGTATATGAATTTGTAGATTTGATCCATTCTTTTTGGGGCACGGTGTACCTATAATGTGTATGTTTATTTACATTTGATATTGATGTATTGATGTACAATAGTTGAAGTATTTAAGCTGCAATTTAATCACAGGTTAGGTAAGTAAAATGTTAATGTAGTTAAATTATCTGTTTGGATAAATAATTGTTCATTTCATTTACCATTGATTGCACTCAATTCCAAAACCATTACAAGTATGTTTAACCGTTAATTATTCACTATATACTCACACTACCTTTAAGATATAATCGCACACCTAAGTGCATATTTTAGGCTGTATGTTGCAAGTATGAAAATGTTGAATTTAGTAAAAAGCTATTCTGTGTGCTACACCCTAGTAGAGATCAGTGGATGACCGCTTTAGTGTCAGTAGCGGAGGGAGGGGAAGTTCTAAATACTCGAAGGGGAGGTTTTGACAGACCAAGAGGGTGACGAATCAACAGTCTCCGCTTCCAAAACTAACAAGCTCAACTCAAAATAAACAAGAACCCGTCAAAACAGGAAAACGGTAGCGGGTCGTCGAGTTGACGAATGTGTAAGAGTTCTGGGCTTCAAAAGCCTAGTTTGTGTTTTGTTTATTTATTTATAGTGAGCATAATATTAAATTTGTTCTAGTGAATTTCCCATTGGGAATTAGATACTATCGCAGAGTTCATGGTAAGACCTAGACCCGTTACCAATTTAATTTACGTTTTAATATTCCCAGAAACCGAAAAAACTACATATGTAGATACAGTTTGGTGTGTCCATTACATATAATCATTGAGTTTGCTATGTAAAAATTCCGAACGCATCTTATTTCAATTTCTGTACGAATATATCTCAAATACACTTTATTACCTTCCCTGTAGCAGAATTTTATTTAAATAGAGAAATCTGAAATTTTTATGGTCAAGGAAAGATAAGATTTCTATTTTATTCTTATGGAGAATAGGTAAACTGTTATTATTGTTTATAAAAACTGTTTATTTATTTTACACTAAGCTATTAATATTTTACCAAAAACGCACATTATCACCATTTCTGTAACAAGAAACCTTGTGTTATTTAAATAGATTTAATTGAAAATGCAATCAGGTAAGAGGAAAATCACTTACTCTGCAGGGTTGCTGCAGCGGGGGTATTTTTGTCCAAGACTTGCAAATTTAAGAGATGTAATTATCTTAGGTACAGAGCTAATATTTGTTAATGTGTTTTTTTTCTCCTTCCAAAGCTTCACAAGACGGATTATATATACTTTATCTACTTTATACAGGTTGTCTAAATTACCCCACATTAGCTGTTCATACCGTCTGTCATTCGCATGGTTGTAATGCAAAAAATAAAGTGAAATAGAAATAATAAACAATTTACTTTGTATCAAACTTTACTTCGAAGTTACCAAAAATGTAAATCTTCCGTAGGAATAAAATCTTTAATTGCATGAAATGGTTGCAATACTTGATCAAAAATACATAGTAAAAATAAGCCAATTGAGTTTAGTCTATCTGACCTTAGTATAATTGTTGGGCTTTATTAGACTAATAGTAACTTATACATATACCCATATTGGCAAATATGATATCTTAGTAGTTTACCCAACCATAAATTCGGATCACGACAAATTATAAAGCAAGTCCTACTGAATTAATTCTCTGGACAGTGAATATCGTACTTTTCACCCAGTTCCTATATGGAGAAATTTAAGCAGGCTACTAATCAATAATCCAAAATAGCTCAGCATTCAATTTTGAAATCAAATCTATAAATATTTTCAACACTGCTATTTATAAGAATACAAAGACCTATTTTTTTTTAAAGTAAATACAATTTTACAATATTCGACATGGTATTAGTCAAATACAAAACTACTTGGTTTAAACACTACAAAAAACATAAGAGTTTCTGATAATGATATTCAACATGAATACAGTAAGTAAATACGAATGTTTCTGTGAAAAATAGTTAACAGATCACAATAATAAGACGAACACGAGAAAAATCTTACAAAA